CAAGACAATAGACGCCCAGGCTGAGATCTTCCTCCACCTCTCCTATATCTCATCCTAAAGTCAATGTTGTCGCCGAGAGATACCGTTTCAGGCAACGAGCCCAAGCTGTCGGTGAGTCTACAGATCACTACGTTGCAGCACTGCGTGAGCTCGTGAAACAATGTAAGTTCGGGGCTATGGAGAATGAAATGTTGCAGGATCAACTTGTAGAGAAGACAAATAATGCTCGTATACGTGAAAGACTGCTAATGGAGGAGGATTTGATGCTCGATCGAGCTTTGGAAATTGCTAGGCGTACAGAGGCTGCAATAGCTGATGCAAAGGCCATTGCTGTTGGTGAAACAAAGCCTGTTGCAAAAGACTGCAAATGTAATACGTGTGGGAAAATCGGACATTTTTCGAGAGTGTGTAAATCTTCTCATAAGCCTGTTAATGAAGTGACTGTGCCTGAAATGTGTGTTTTAACTGTTGACAATTGTGTCAGTGGTGATCCGGCTAAACTGATGTGCACTGTTACTGTCACTGTACCAAATACTGCACAGGCATGTACTGTTAAGCTACTAGTAGACACAGGGTCTGGTGTTTCCATACTGCCTGAACATGTTTACAGCACAAATTTTGGCTCAGTTAAGTTAAGTAATCCAGCTGTTCAGCTTATTACATATTCAAAAGAGAAACTGGATGTATTAGGGTGTCTTAGAGCTGACATTACTTACAATGGCAAGAGTGCCTCCACTGATCTCTACATTGTGAGAACAGGAACACCCATACTGGGAATGGACTTGGTGACTGCCCTCCAGCTACACATAAAAGGGGGACAATTAGTTCTTGACAGTCCCAAGGTCTGTGCTACACTTCAGCAAACCTCTGCTCTGCCCACTCAATGTAAACAGGAATGTGAGTCTCCAGTTGCATTCGGATGTGCAAAGGACTTTGTACATAAAGTGAAGGTGCGACCTGAAGTGAAGCCAATACAGCAGAAACTTCGACGCTTACCCCTGTCAGTCCGTGATGCTGTTTCCGCAGAACTCAAGAACCTTGAGGAACATGGCATCATAGAGAAAATCGATGCATCTGAATGGGTCTCCCCGATTGTAGTCACTAGAAGGAAGACTGGTGGCATACGCATGTGCGTTGATTTGAGAGAACCTAACAAAGCGGTGGTCGCTGACAGTCATCCCTTGCCACTGATAGAGGACATACTGTCTGAGCTGCGTGGGGCTGTCATGTTCTCCACCCTGGATCTTAAATCCGCCTACCATCAGCTGAAACTACATGAAGAGAGTAGAGGGCTCACTGCTGATGTAACCCAGTGTTAATTTGGTTATCTGATATTGTGTGATATTCAGTATATATGTATATATCTATATTGGCCCATACGGTAAAAAAATATATTTTAAAATACATTTTAAAATATATTTATATATTTAAAATGTATTTTAGCACATATATTTTTTGGCCATTTTTTGTATATTTTGAAATATATTAATAAAATATATTTCAAAATACAATTTAAATTTATTTAAAATCATTCAAAAAAATATAAATTTAACCCTTCATATATTTCTAAGAAAACACATTCACATGTAACATCTGAAAGAAATCTTTATTTGATGTTTAAAACATACATATAGCATATCAATCAAGCAAGGAATATTCATTTTATAAGTTTATTCTCATTACATACTTAAACATTCTAAAAGAAACACACACACATATACATATATGTGTGTGTGTGTGTGTGTGTGTGTGTGTGTGTGTGTGTGTGTGTATATATATACACACTACTATATATATATATATATATATATGTATGTATGTATATGTAATATGTAATATGTAATAATATATTGTACATATATATATTATGTATATAAATAGTATACTATTATTATATATCATATAATGATATACCCTGTATAAATTATTATACTATGTATAGTGTATTATAATTATGTCAATATAAATATATATATATATAGACTATATATATATATATATTATATATATATGTATAATATTGATATGTGTGTATATATATATACATATGTGTATATATATATATGTATGTATATATATATATATATATATACACACACATATGTGTGTATGTGTATATGTGTGTGTGATTGTATGAACATAAGTCAGCATACTTAAAATGTAATTTCTTTTCCTTTTCCAGCAGTCTCAGTTCCCCCAGCTTTCACGGCAATCCTCAAAGCCCTTCTGGACACGCTGGGAAACCCCTTCCTTACCGCCACTGTAACAAACAAAAGTCACAGTTCTATTACTTTTATCAGAGTTAAAATAAAAATGTGATTTATGTTAGCTGGCTTCATTTAGCAAACAGATATTTCTGTTTATATAGATACAGATATTAATACAGATATATTTTACGCATAATTTTACCTCTTTTTTTTCCTAGATGGGAAGTCTATCCAGTTCACATTACAGTAATGCTAACACCCCTTTTGGTCGTCTCTCCTTACCTTCCAGCATTCATAAATCTGTTGACCTTCTTTGTCTGAGACCAACCACTACAATGCATCATCACCTATTTGTATTGGTAACTTACTTTACAACCTATTTTAATGGTTGCAAAGTAAGTTACTTGTGCTGTATGCAATTTTAGATACACAGAAAGTCTTCACTTACTATATATGGCTGTCATAGTGTCCTTATCAAGGGCAGTTCTTCACTCTGCGCCGATGTCCGTTTTGCTCTGTCCTCCTATAAAAAGCATGAACATTTGAGTGTTTGACTAGTTTTAGATTTCCAAAAATTTGATATTTGTACAACTAAACATTTGAACTACAATATATGCTATTGAGCGATACTTTTATGGGTAATTTTTGGTAAAGAAACTGGTGACAGAGTTGTAGGCTTTTTAAAGTACTATTAGCTAACCATTTGAACTGACTTTCAAAGCTGATTACCTTTTAAATTGCTGTGGATCAAAACCTCCAGTGGGAAGGCGGCCATTAGAAGAACACGCACCATTGAACCTGAAAATAACAAAAACAAACAAAAAACAGAACAATATATAAGAGTCCGGTAGGGTAATAAATCTCTTCTGAAGCAATATAGTTCATTTTGGGTGAAAAACAAAACATTCCTCTAAAATATATATACTGACATCAGCAATCAACATCATGATTGTAATTATTTCCTTTTTAGTACATCTACTGCTGTTTGCATGTGTCAAGCACTACGACTGTATCTATGCATATAAATTCACCATATATATCCAGCAAAAATGTTTTGTTATAGTCAAAAGGAAAACAAACAAAGGCATTCAATCAGAGGTGAGAAATTAATTGGGAATATGAATTATAGGTGAACTATTCTTTACCTACTAGCAATCAAGCTTCTTTAACCAAGAAGCTTGAAATATTTGAATGTAAAATAAAATAAATAAATAAATAATAATAAAAATAACATGATGTAATTAAAATGCACAACTTACATTAAGGAAATCTGCATTTGTATCCACAGGCTAAAAGTAAAACAGTAAATGTGTTAGTGATAGTACAGGTATTTGTAAAAAAAAAAAAAAAAAAGAGGCAGTAACTGTGACGCTTCTAGTGGGATGCTAAATGCAGAGATTTATATTTACAGTATAATACTGCATGTACGGGTAGCTGTGTTGTGAACTGTAACTGAATATTAGAGAATCTCAGAGAAATTAAATGTATTTATTTTTTGAATTTATCAATCATAAAACCGTCTGTTTTGAAGGCCTGTTACGATAGCGACTTTTTGTTGGTCGGTATATTGCCCCATAAACAATTGCGACAAGTTATGTCATTGTCATTTTAAGACCATTTTATGTCTTTGAATGTATAATCATAATATAACACCATAATAATGCAAGATCTACACACTTTCAATTGACAAACCAACATCTAATTCTTAAAGTATTTAGATCATTGAAATTAGGAATCAAAATATTAGATACCTTAAAAACTTGAATAAATAGTAAATTTTCTAACAAATAGAAAACAATGTTATTTAATGTTATTGTTTTGTTATCATTATATTTTATTTTTGTAAATATAATGGCAGATAAATTACATCATCAACAATTATTGAGGTCATGTACATGTATTGTGTGTTAAGTCGATATATCGATTATTGTGATAGGCCTACTGTTTTGGTATCATAACGAGCTTGTCAAACATGCATGACCACTAAACAATGTCTAAGCAGTAGTATTGGTCTGAATGACAACAAACATAACTAGTGTTTTGGAAAATCTGTTAGAAAACAGTTATTTCAATAATTATGATTAGCATGTGACACAGACACCGCATAAAAAACTACAACAACAAATACTTACTTTAGGAGGATGGGGGAGGGCAGCATGAGGTTGAGACTTTGACATCTGTAAAAAACAAATTCATGTATTACAAACAAGTCACTTAAAAATACATTAATGTGGCAGACTGTTCCCTGTTCAGATGCAGTGTATAAGTACAATCAGGGCTGTCACAACAATGGGGTGGGGCCAAGTGGCTGCAACCCTAGGTAATCAGTTATCAACCATGTGAACACAGGAATATACTTATAATAAATAGTAAGCAGTACTAGAATACTATGTGAAATAGTAATCAAAGAAATATTACTGATTTAAAGGTGTTATAGTAGCATCATGACTACTGACTCGAATATGAGTTGCTAGCTCATGTATCATTATAAATATGCACTAAACCGACATAACATATAGAAATCATGCACTAGACAACGCAACACACGATCGAAACAAAAGCTCGATTAATGACATGACAAACAAAATTACGTACATTGATAAACCTCTTCACCATATAAACAGGAACTTAGAGACTGCGTGAGCGAATTCACACACTTCCTCCATGGGAACTACAATCAGAATAGAGGCGACAACAACCATTAACTGGTCCTAAAAAACATAAAAAATACAATGAGAAAGAAGCATCTAAAAACGCCCTAAGCAAAATAGACCACTTAACATAAGCTAAGAAATGTGGAACAGATAAAAATGAATAATACAGAGTCTAAAACGAGATATAAATTAAAAGAGCCAATAACTTATCTAAGGTGTTTTCTAAACCTTAGAGGATACACATAAGACTCTGTAGACGCAGACAGTGAGAATGACGCGATCTACACTAATGGAAACAACTAGTAGGGTAGCTAGCATAGAATTTGCTGATAGAGAAAAACCAAAACTTATCCACACCCTCGTCGATAACTAGGCATACTAGGTAAAGATAAGTTATTGAGTAACGACGCAGAAAATCATAACACCTGACAGAAAAAGGAGAAACACTCCAAGAGAAATCACAAGATATTTAACATAAGTTAGATGTAGACGGAATAATACTTCAGGCATTAACTCAATGTATAGCTAATGCGGTGGGAGCTGCACCACACACAGCGACAAAGAAAAGAAAAAAACAAACAGCATAACCAGATGCATAGTAACGTTGATATGACGTGAAACTGTTTTGATTGTTCATGCGCTCACCCGATATGCTGTTTCATGTTCTCGTATAATATAATATCACACCGAATTATGTACTCACAAGTAGATACAATAATCTCGCTCACTTCCGGCTGACAACCAACATAAAAATTAGTGAACGCGGAACGTCGGCCGATGAGCATTATCTCCACGCTATTTACCTCGATAAACCTACACACAATGCTTGAATTCCAAACATGATCATTGACCCGGCTATATTGTAAGCATGACACTTAGCTCCGGACTACCAAGAGTAACAGCACAAGGAAGACCAATACCCACAGTGCACTAAAACAGGTTAGACTCAACGTTGAGGCCCAAGACAAGTTAAGTACATAAGAAGCGATGAAGTCACTAACTAATAATTAGGTTTCTGAACTTAGTGGAACCTATGAAAATCTGGGCTTGGCAGCTCTACCGCTTATACCCAGATATCCCCCAAAATCACCGACGCAGAAATAAGAAAAACAAAAATCCATAAATAAGACCACATATCTATATGGACCAAACAACTGGACACCTGCTAGCTTGATGATTACGAAGAAGAGATATTCTCAACTCAAGAAAACTGGTCAAAACCACCGTCCGCACTCTGAGGCATTCTTGTCACCGCACTCCCTAACGAAATAGTAACAAGGTCCCAAGTGCCTATACAATGTGACCCACCCCGAGACCGCTATAAAAATCCTATTACCATCCTACACTAAGTTAAAAAATCACAATAGTAAGAAATGAGCTTACACGTAATCCGGCACCAGAATTTCGAGAAATTACTATAAATTCTCTCCAACAGCATGCTATAAGTTAACCTAAGCCGAAAAACACCCTAATCCGGCCAAAGTTCTCCGCTCTCCCTGTATCCCTGGAAGCCAGATCCGTTCGCTACTCATCTCACCCGCTGTCAGAATACTACGCCCAAGCACAGCCTCATTAGAACGATACGATTATTATTATTACTAACAAATAAAAAAAAAAAAAGAAAGAAAGAACGAAGCTAACTAACTACATAAACAAGCACCAGTTTCAGACAAAGCTCAGTTCGCACAGTTATGTAGGAGAACAGTTATAAACATAATTAAAATATTCAATTAAATTAGCGTTTTACATATAAATACCGTATCTCTTTAAACCACACACTTGACAAATTAGCGTACTCGCGCATTACTACTTCCTGCGACCGCGCAAAGGGCTTGGACGTTGACGTAATCATAAAAAGTCAATTATATTGCATTGTATGGTAAGTTGATAGCTATGCCTAAAGCAAAAACCAATTCATACTGGGCATGCTCAATCGAAATCAAACAACAGAAAATCTCTCACTCGATATATCCCATTATCCACTGAGAAACGCTAGAGCTCAACAAGCAAGGCAAAATGACACAGGATAATATGAAGCACCAGATTCGTCCTCAGATAGCAAAACAGCTACATCAGGTAATACTCTAAAACTACTATAGTTTGACTGGCCAACATCTGATAAGCCATGGACCCGTATAGAAAACATCACCATCTTTCATATCGTAGCCTGCTGGCATCAGTGTAAAACCCTGATAACACCAATCCACGCTACATTAGAGCAGCTTCTGAGCGATCTCTACTCACTGCATACCTTGCTCCGTGGAAGTCAGAGGGCACTACACGGCGCACATTTCGCCATTATAAATCTCTGAGGCGCACTGATACACACCACAATCATACATCAACAGCTGATCTTGCAATCACAGTACAAAGACATTTGGCTATTTTTAAATGACTCACCGTACCACGTTCCTACGTAATACATGTGTGAGTAGTAAACGACACGTACCATAACAAAAGACTAAAAGAATAAGTCAAAAGCTGTATGACCATCGTCATGATAAAAGAATCGTCTGCAAAGCAGAACTAAGTCTTGAATACACCCCCACTAAAAATCTCAAATGTGGCAGTGCCCTAAAACCTTGTACTAGGTGCAAATAAATATCGATTCCATCTTCGACAAAGGGTGTGAGGAATGACTTTAAACATTCAAATTAGTGCTAGCAAAAATTCATTCATGAGGGGGAAATTACAGTGAGAACATGTAGAGGCTCTGTTAGAGGGATAACATAGTGAGTTCAGTGCATTGATGTGACATTGTCCTGAAGGATTTAGTTATTCTTTATGGTTAAAGAAATTGCCCTAATTAATTCATATTTATTATAAATAATCCTAATTACACATCTTGCTTCCTTGTTTGTGTCCTGTGTCACTAAAAATACATTCTGTTTTAGTTTTATACATTGATTAATGACCTGCAGAATCTGCTTGTCATATTAGGTGTCCATAGTTGTCACTTAAAGTCGAACTTTATGTTTTCTCCCTCTTGAAAGTGATTACATCCTTGCATTACATACTTTAGGTTCATTTTTTGCTGATAGGTTTCTAAAAAGAAACATGCAGATTTAGAATATAACATGCAGCGTTCTATAGATGGATACATAAAAACACCTTATTTGTTACATTTATGATAAATGGATTTGAAAGTAAATAAAACACATTTGTGTCGGACTTGGCTTATTAAAGTTCTTGTCTTTAAATGAACTTTGTCTGTGTGTGTTTTAGGTCCTGCACTCTTAAAGACTGAATTGCAGCATTGCAGCCACAGGTCATTGTGAGCATCACAGGGAAGGTTGAAGCCGCCCACTGCAGCTGTATGGCTAGAGTCGTGGAGACTTGCAGCCATGTCACTGCTCTTCTGTTTAATGTAGAAGCAACAGTGAGGATCTGTGGCACAAGGACTGTTACAGATGAACCTGCATACTGGGTTTTGCTGGGTAATATGACCAAGATACAGCCAGAGGTTGGCCATAAGATAGACTTCTCCTCTTCAGCTGCCCAAAAAAAAGGTTCTTGATCAAAACATAAACAGACCATTCGTTGTGACAGGTAAAAGAAGCCATCCTCAAAAAAGAAAAGTTCCACCTGCTACTGTGGAGGAGTTGGATCAACTGATGGGACAATATTTTTCCAAGCATAGTTCTGTTCTGAATAACCCATAATGTTTTAATTTAGGGGGCCATGTAAATACTTTGCATTTACTGAATATGTACTTACTAAATACCACTGTTCAAAAGTTGAATAAAGAAACAAAGAAATGTTTGCCTATTTTTAATTAAAAGCACTTTGTCGAACATCACATCAGTTACAATGTAGAAAAAATGTTATGTATAGTTTACAAATGACAAAATGTTCACATAAAATCATGACAGCATTTGTATAATATTACCCACTACTAGCATTCTGTAATTTACTGTCTCTTTTGAAAACTTATCACTACATAAACAGCACAAGACTTAAAAGTATTTAACAAGAGCATTTTTCCCTGGTTTTACTACCACACTGGGGCACATGTTCACCAAAACGCAGCAAACCTTTGCCATCTTATCCAGGAAGGTCACCTTTTTACTCACCATGGTGGTAAGGTGTAGTCTGGAAGATGAGTGGATGGTGGGGTGGGTGCAGTTTTCTCTGTGGTGGGGTCGGGTGGGCTGTCCCGGGCTCTGTGGGGCCAGGTGGCGCTGCCGAACTGCGTCCCGGTCCGGATGGGCCTGGGCCCCCCTTACCTGGCGGGTTGCAGAGTATGGGGGTGCCTACTGGGGTCATCGGGGGAGCTGGCGCCAGGGAGGGGTCACTTCCTTCCTTCCTTCCCTCCCGATCTCCAGCTGCCTCCCTCTTCCCGCTCCACCACAATCACCCACACATGCAGAGCCTTGGGGTAAAGGTGTGTCACCAGGGTGCAGGGGAGGCTACCCCCCCTCTGTCCCCTTCTGGCTGCCTGTGCCTCAATTTTATCCCACAACTTAGACATTCACATTACTCACACTCTCATAACACATACATATAGGACCTTGGGGGTGGGCACGCTACATGGAATCCAAAAGACCATCAGCGTGTACACCTCACCCCTGGCGTCGTTGCCCACCTCTCAATTTTAAATACATGTAGACATTGAGGGCTATTAGGAGGGGCTATGCACTTACCTGCTGCTCTCTGGCAGG